AACTATGCCAGTCTAACTTTCCCTTTATCTGCCTTAAAGGGGCAGTTTATTAGCCATAGTTAAGTCAGTTATGACTCATTGGTTTTTGCCCCTATTTGCATACACAGGCTCTGTTTTGGTACTGTCTTCAGCATGCAGTCCTTTGCATGCTGGATACAGCAGGTCTAGACTCAATCATTAAAGAAAACATACAAAACCAAACAAAAAACCACTAGAAAAATTTCCTGACTTAGAATACACTTGGATAGCAGAGTAAGCAAAAATGTCCTGTTTTAAAAACGGACAAAAATAAGGAATACTCTCAGGAGCAACAGAAGAGTATTGAGAGTACCATGGACTGCTAGGAAAACAAACAGATTCATCCTGGAAGGGGTTAAACCGAGTGGCTCTTTGGAGGCAAGGATTCTGAGGCTCTGTCTAACATACTTTGGACATGTTGTAAGAAGAGACCGGTCCTTGGAGAAGGACATGATGCTGGGGAGGGTGGAGGGGCAGCGCAGGAGGGGAAGGCCCTTTATGAGGTGGATTGATTTGGTGACTGGGGTAATCAGGATGGGAGTGTCAGGGGCAGTGCGATTGGCACAGGATAGAGCAGGGTTTAGGACTGTCACATGAGTCGCAAGAGACTCGATGGCACATAGCAACAACAACAACTACATAACTTGGGAAAGACTGGAGAGCATTACACTGAGTGAACTAACTCAATCTCACAAGGACAAATACTGCATAAGACCATTATTGTAAAAAGCTAAGGATAACTAGTAAATATGTATGGGGACCCAAGGGGAGAAGGGGTGAGAGCAGAGGAATGAAGGTAAGTAGGGTGAAACTATACTTTCAGTTGCACAATTAGGTGGGTAAAGGGAGGGGTGAAGGAAATGGAAAGGATCCGGCAGAGACCTGAAAAGATAGGGTGATGATGGGTATAATTCAATGGGGATTAATTTTATAAAGTACAATGTATGGAAATGATTGAATGAAACACAATGCAAATGGAAAAAAGTGTGAAACACAATATATACAATTTTGTATGCAAACCATTATAAAACATTTTAAAAAAAAAAGGTACTCAGGAGCTTTTGTCCAAGGTGAAGCTTTCCTAGTGTTTCTGTAACCTAGTCTTATTGCCACCAATGGGAAACAAGTCAGCAATGCCAGGCCTCCAGAAGCACCATGGGAATGTCAGGCTAAGATCAGATGAAATCTGGTAGTAGAACTGGGACTAAAATGTAGTTGTAGTTTTCTTTTGTTTTAATATAACACTAAATTGCTCCTTACTAGGGAAGAGTTCTGCTTCTTGGGAACCTTGATAAATATTTTCTCTTTACTCCATTATAGGTTCCCTAAACAATGGCAATCAATGAATCTATAAAGGTTCGAGAACATAATAGGGTATTTCAGGCAGCCAAAGGCTGTCAGAAGAGTTCATATATGAAATAAAAAAATAGGGCTACTAGTCCCCTAGAGAACTCTGGTGGCCTAATGGTAAGGAGTTGTGCTGTTAACCTGAAGGCACGCAGTTCTAATCCACCAGCTGCTTTGCTCAAGAAAGATGGGAATCTCCTACATTTCTATTTACTGCCTCTGAAAACCTGCTAAAGGGTCAGTTATGGGTTGGTTTAGAATCGATGGTATTCTTGTTGAACTTCAAAAGCTCTAGTTAGTAGCTCTAGAAGTTTTCCTAAAGCTAAGTGAAAAACAAACAAAGAAGAGCCAAATCTAAATTCATCTCACTCCATCAAGTTGAACTGACTCAGGAGGAGACTGTCCATCTTTCAGGGAAACTGATGGATTCGAACCACCAGAGGCATCACTTTTTGGTTAGCAGCTCAAACTCTCAAGGACTGTTCTACAAAAATATTATTTCTCAAGGCCCTTCCCAAAGAAAAGTAAATCTTGGATACAAGTCATGGTCAATTACTGTAATACCAAGATTAAGAGCTGGATTCTTGAAAGAGGCTTGGTAAGATTAGGGATTTCAGTGTGTTTCTGTAAAAAGGTAATCTGTTTATTCTATTCCTGGTCTCTTAGAAATTGTATTAGTGTAGAGGGCCACTTTTGAGGCTCCTGAATTAAGGCCTAAGTTGCTTTATGCTGCTCACTAAATGTTATTCCATAAAGGCCTGCCTGGCATGTCTAGAGATAAGTTCAGCTCAGAATCTCTACCCAGTCTCAAGGAAACTGTTTCTTTCTATAGCTCAGTGTCTGTAACTCAAGGTCTTAGGAAGTGTTCCTCATTCCTGCAGCATACTGATATCTTGAGGTTGAGTTTCCATAGTAACCCAGCCTATGTAATATACCTAGGCAGATTCCTATAAAAGCCTGAAAAAACTTTAATAAAATGTGACTTGATCAGGAATCTGTCTTGTCCCCATTCTTTGTGCCACTTGTCCCTTTTCAGCCCCACTCTCCCTCCTTCAGGTCTACGTTAACGTCCCCACTGGCTGGGGCATGTTGGCGCCCAATGTGGGGCCGGAAGGCACGGGGGACATTCTGTGAGGGAGCCGCTTGAAAGAGATAGAAGGACAGGCCAGTTGCTACAGTATTAAGAGGTTTCTGCGAGAGTACCCGCCTCATGGAAAAGAACCTAAGAGGTAAGTCATGGCAATTATGGGACAAGCAATTATTGTAGAGGAGAAATTTATAGAGGGTCTAAAGGACTCATTAAGGGCGTGAGGAGTAAGGGTTAAAAAAGGATTTAGCTCATTTCTTTTCTTAAGGACATATGTCCCTAGCTCCCCCAAGAAGGGACAATAAATGCAAAGAGGTGGAAAAGGGTTGGTGATGCTCTAAAAGATTATTATCAAATATTTGGCCCTGAAAAAAATGCCTGTTACTGCCTTTTCTTCCTGGAATCTCATTAATGAAATCCTACATGTTAGATAGTTTCACAAGGATATTAAAGATGTAGTGGAGGAGGGAGAAAAGTTTCTTAAGAAAGAACTCAGGAAAAGCCAGTTTTCTCTTAACTCTGATCCTGGAAACCCGCATAAACCTCCCCTTAACGAAGTAAATTCCCTCCCTCCCGAGGATAAGGACTCTGTCTCAATTATAATGCCCCCTATAGAAGAGGACATTAGCCCAGATTTTCCTGCTCAAGGCTGTGCCTCCTTAAAACCTGATCCTGCAGACAAACCTCTGCTTAAAGAGCCCAGCTTCCCCAGACCTCTGTATCCTTCTTTGAAAATTTATCACTCAGAGATAAATAATGACAATAATTACTTAACCTCTGAAGAGGAAGCTGACTTTAAGGGTGAGGGGGCTAATTATCTTAGACCTGACCGGTCCTCTCCTGTGCCTCTTGCACAACAGCCACCTCCTTACAACTTACCGCTGCCTCAGCTGCTGCCGCTTCTGTCTGGCTTTACTTTTAACCCCCTACAAAGCCATTCTTTAATGTTACCTGGTGCTAGTGATCCAGTTTTAGAAATTAAAAACCTCAAGGAAGTTATTCAGCTTAAAAAGGAGTGCAATGAGTTATTTAAAGAGTTAAGAATGTTAGACCTAGAACTTTTCAATGAACCAGCACCATCTTGCCTTGCTCCTCCTCTTGGAGAACAAAGGAAAATTCTCACACCTTTACAAGCTCTGGCGCCATCTTGTCAGGAAAAAATTTTTTGCACCTTCACAGGCCCTGACGCTATCTTGCCATGCTTTCCCTCTTGGAGAATAAAGGAAAGTTTCCACTTTAACTAAAAAGGCCTCTTCTCAAATATTTGACCTTTTTTCAGTTACTGAAGTTCTTATTAAGCAGGAAGATGATGATGAGGAAAGACCATCATGAGATTACAAACGTCTGGGTTTCAATACTTTAAAAGAATGGAAAGCTGCAGTAACCCAATATGGCCCAGTTGCCCCTTTTACACTGTCAATATTGGAAACCTTAGGTGATTTATGGCTTACCCCTAATGATTGGTATCACATGGCTCATGCCACGCTTTCAGGAGGAGACTATGTGTTATGGAAATCTAAATTTACTGAGAACTGCAGAGAAACTGCCTGCCGTAATGTGGAGGCTGGTGGGGAAAGTGCAGCCTGGGCATTAGATGTGCTTGTAGGCAATAACCCTCATGACACTAATGAGGCACAGAGGCACTATTTACCTGGTCTCTTTTCTCAGATCCAGAATGCTGGACTTAAGGCTTGGAGAAAGCTGCCACCAAAAGGATCTGCCACTACCTCTTTGGCAAATATAAGACAGGGCCAAAAGCTGCCCTGCTTTCCAATGATGGGTAAGGAACCTTGCCAGGTTGCCAACCTAAGACAGGAACAGGGCCAAAGCTGCCCTGCTTTCCAATGATGAGTAAGGATCCTGTGTGAAAGAAGAATGCCAAGGCATGTAGCCTAAGACAGATGTGAGTCACCAGCAGCCTTTAAACTAAACAAGGGGGACCTGTAGAGGGCCACTTTTGAGGCTCCTGACTTAAGGCCTAAGTTGCTTTATGCTGCTCACTAAATGCTATTCCATAAAGGCCTGCCTGGCATGTCTAGAGATAAGTTCAGCTCAGAATCTCTACCCAGTCTCAAGGAAACTGTTTCTTTCTATAGCTCAGTGTCTGTAACTCAAGGTCTTAGGGAGTGTTCCTCATTCCTGTAGCACACTGATATCTTGAGGTTGAGTTTCCATAGTAACCCAGCCTATGTAATATACCTAGGCAAATTCCTATAAAAGCCTGAAAAAACTTTAATAAAGTGTGACTTGATCAGGAATCTGTCTTGTCCCCATTCTTTGTGCCACGTGTCCCTTTTCAGCCCCACTCTCCCTCCTTCAGGTCTACGTTAATGTCCCCGCTGGCCGGGGCATATTAGGAGAACACGGAGACTGGTTATCTTTTTCAAAATGATACTGCCATATCTTACTTAGAAAGATTTCTTATGTTTCAGATACAGCCTGCAATACATAGTACCAGTCAACAGCCAGCTTGTGTGCTACATGTACCCATATATACCCAAGGCAGGAAAATCCCAGCCTCCCAAAACAAGACAGCAAGAGAACTAACTGATTTATCTGTTGTCTTTCCTGTCAAGATGGCCCTCGCCTTGGCTTTGGTCAGCGGAAAGGACTTTATGTACGAGTCATACAAGTGTTTGGCCAGGGCCCGGAGATCAGCAGACTCTGGGTTCAGTTGGTCGATGTCGCTGGAGATCTCTGCTAACAGCTTCTCTTTCTCAGCCTGTGGCATCCGTCCAAACCTGATAGCTGTGGAGGCAAAGGAATGACAGCATGAACCACCAATCACTCTGCTCCCTCCTCAGTCTTCCTTCCCACATAATAGCAGCCTCCTTCCCCTGACACTCATCTCAAGCGCTGATTTCCACTGATGACCTCTAAGGTCTTTGTTTCACTAAGTGGTAGCCCAGACTATCAATAAAAATTAATTATTAGCATCTTTAATTAAAAAAATGTAATTCAGGATCTTGCTAGGAAGGTGGAAGAATTTCTGATTTCAGCATCTCCATGAGAGAAGGTTGTGGCAATAATAGTAGCAAGCAAGTCTATGACCAACAGATCCAGATCTTGTCTTATGCTTGCGGCCTTCCACCATGCTCAAGTGTACTGTTGTACTCATTGCATTCATGGACCCTTTTAAGAGTCTTTCTCTCTTTTGCTGACCCCAGAATCATGTCATCTCCCAAGAGCTTTAAAACATTAACAACCTTGGAAACCATATAAGTTGATTCTACTCTGCCTCATAAGGGTTCTTCTGAGTCAGAATTGACTTAACGACAATATTTTGTTTTGTTTTTTACCCCTTTCAAAGGGTTACCATGAGTTGAAATCAACTCAACAGCAGCTAACAAAAGACATACCACATGCCAGTATCTGTTTCCAAATCTTCTAACATAGTAATTTTAAAAGACAGAGGGAAATTCTCTGTGCCTGGACTATGAGTCACTGCACAAGCACTCAGAACCTTCTGGAAGGCAAGGGAAACAGCATTGCATTTGAAGTACCTAGAAAGCCTAGTTTCACTTTAGTGACAAACTAGCTGTGTGGCTTTAGAAAGCTACTTAACTCTCAGTTTCTTTATCTATAGATTGATAAGTTTGAAAAAAGAAGATCCCTTTTTTATAAATTTAGCTTTTAAACTCCACAAATCCCTATAACCTGTAATACTGGCATGTATGCAAACTATTGGTTTTGAAAATAATTATTGCCTAGTCTTTGAGGCCCTAAAAAAATAAAAACACATACATTCTACTATTCTCCATATCTTCCATCTATCACACAAAACATCTGCCACACCACGGCACAGTGTCAGTTTTTGGGACAATTAATCATCTACAGAAATCCATGTGCCTTGTAAAAAAGATTGTCAATACCAGTCAGTATGCACTTTTCAGGGGAAACAGGTTTGACAGAGACCCATTAATTTCTGGTAAAACTAAATTAGCATCCATCAGTTTATACAATGTCCTCTTACTGGATTCAAACCAGCTCACTATAAGCATGTGACAGATTTAAACTGTGTATTTAGTACTAATATTACGAAGCACACAAACCCAAGCATGTGGATATCCTATGTTTTAGATCTAGGTGTTTTATGCCACCTACCTAAATGAAGGAGATTTAAAACAGAGGGTTGTTGTTGTTGTTAAATGCAGTTGAGTCGGGCACAACCCTATGAACAAAAGACCTGAATCCTGTTCTAGAACTATTGTCATTTCTCTATGTTCATAGAGTTTCCAGAGGCATGTTGTTTAGGAAGTGGATGCCAATCTTGCTTCCAAGTGTGTCTCATGCTGGGAGCTCCACTAAATACTGTTCACTATGGGTAACCATTATGGCATTTGACACACCAGTGGCATAGTGTTCAGTGTGACAGCAACCCCAAATTACGTTAGTACAGCAAATTGACAGACCAGTGCTGTACCACTTAGATGAATGTTCATCCCAAACACAATTGACACCAGGCCCAAGGGCCACAGGTGGCAGGTACTTCATTACAAAGATTAATTAAGGCAAATTGACAAAATAGTGAATCACTAGAAAAGCTTCTCTCAGAAATGAGTCTTATAAAAATAATAGTTTTTCACTGACAAAAGGGTGAATTTTAAATTGATAAATCACATCAGACTTTTAATAATTTAATTTTTCACATTAATATTTATTTATACTCTCATCATGTAATAGTCTTCCTCTAAACTGTTGTTTTGTATAAAGCTGCTGCCAATAAGTAAGTTACGTTTTTCTGTCTCCTTATTGAGAAAGAAAACTTTTGCATTTATGAGGTTTCGCCAGGGTGGCAATCTAATAACTATCATTTTTAGCATGAAATTCTATTTCCCACTTCTTAAAGAGATCTCAAACTGCCTTCCATAGCAGTTGAACCATTTTACATTCACACTAGCAGTGTACTACATCATTTTCCATACTATTTAGGCCATTTTTTTTTGTTTGTTTTGTTTTTTGGAAGCAGAAGTAGCATCCACTTTTAAACAACATACCTCTGGAAACGCTATGAACTTTGATAAATGACGACAGTTACAGAAAGGCTTCAGGTCTTTTGTTCATAGAGTCGCTATGAGTCGCGCTCGACTCGATGGCAATCAGCAACAACAACAACAAAGTAAAACAAAGAACAATTTTAGCACCAATAATAATTTTTTTTAATGTAGGGGTATCTTTTTTCCAAACTACTCTTCGAGGGCATTTAAACATTTCCTTGGGTTTCTTTCTAGGGTTGAAAAGATAAAAAGACATCACATTGCATCTTTCAACTTCATCTATTTTTCTGTTACCTTACTTGGGGTCATGAATTCATTCCTGAATACTTTTTGGTGCAAGACAATTTGTTGCACTAGACAAACAGAAGTAAGAAATATAAGCACAAAGGGCACATGTCTAGGGAAATTAATAAATACAGTTTCAGATTTATTATTAGATTCCATTCTGAGGACTCTATTGTAAATAATTTCTAACAGTCTAACATTTTTTCTTTTTTAAAGTTTTCAGAGCCTGTTATATAGTAGTACTGTAAACAGTAAGTTGTAACATTCAATGTTTGCAGGTGAACATCTGAGAATGGTAACGTTAGCAAATTGGATGCTGCAACAATGTATGCAGTACAAATTCCTAACAATGAATCTTAAAAGAAAGGCAAGTATATTTTTTATTAATTTTAATGAACATTTACAGAGATTTTTTATTTTCATTCATTCATTGTTATATTTTTCTCCCTGCCTACCCCTCCCCACCCAAGGTCACTCTTCTCTTTGAAAAGTAAAAGAAGCACCCCCCCGCCATTCCACTCCACTATGCAACCTTCCATTCTGGACTCTTGTCATAACCATAGTATGCAATCATATATAGCTTTTAAATTGATCTCTCCCTCATCTGTTTCAATGCAGTATACATAATATACCAAATTTTTCTCAGTCTCACTCCCACCCTGATGTCAGTCCATTCTACAACAGTGGCACTATGCAGTATTTGTCCTTTTGTGACTGAGATATTTCACTCAGTATAATGTCCTCCAGGGTCACCCATTTTGAATGATATTGCATGAGTTCCTTGTTTTTCAATGCAGCATAATATTCCATTGTGTGAATATACCAGAGCTTCTCTACCCATTCATTTGTTGATGGGCACTTAGGTTGTTTACAACTCTTTGCTATTGTGAACAAGGCTGCAAAAAACATGGGTGTGCATATATCTGCCTGGGTGGCAGTTATGGTTTCTTTAGGAGATATTCCCAGTAGAGGAATTGCTAGGTCAAATGGTATTTCTATTTGCCACTTTATGAGAAAGTGCCATACAGCCTTCTATAGTGGTTGCACCATTTTACACTCCCACCACCCAGTTTCTCCGCAATCTCGCCAGCATTTGTTGTTTGCTGCTCTGTTAAATTTTACTATTCTTACTAGGGTGAGATGATACCTCATAGTGAAGTGTGTTGTAACTTGGATATTGAATACACAATACATTTGGGGCTGCATGCATAAATTATCTGGCACATATCTTTTTAGTTTCCCTGTCCTTTCCAGCTCAGCAGATGTGCAAGCTTTCTTGTGATCTTTCAAATTATCTTTCTTGCACCATTTTTATAAAAAACAACCAAAACAGTTTTCACTCTATCTGCATCACCTCTTATTCACTTCTTAACTCAGAGCAATCAATTTCTCTTCATTAAGAAAATATTTGTTTTTACACTTCCCTGGCCAGGCTAGGAGCCTCTTCTAAATTCTCGTTATACTTGAGTTCTCTTAATTTTTCATCCAGGGTTCTGCTTTTCTAGATGTCCTATTTTTCTGACTTTATTTTCCAGACCTCTGCCTTTATTTATATTCTCTTGTTTCTAGCTTGATCTTCTCTTTATCGTGCAATATGTTCTGGTGACTCTTGTCCCTCTTGCATTTTGGAATCTTATTTTTCACTTCTTCCTATATTTCTTTGTACCTGTTGCTTAATATATCATAAACACCTACAATACACTTAAAAATAATACTCTCAATTTTCTACTCCAAATTTGCTCTATTTTCTGTTTTCCTTTCTTCTAGACCTATTTGTCCCCTTTGACAAGAAAGAATACTTAGTCCGTTGTCAAGAATTTTTCTGAAATACTAAGGAGCAATGATGTAAGCATAAAGAGTAAGGCATGCCTGATCCAAGCTATGGTCTTTTTAGTCACTTGTCATTTGAGAGCTAGACAATGAATAAGAATGATAGAAGAAAAATTGATGTCTTTGAGTTGTGGTGTTGGAGAAGAGTACTGAATATCCCATGGGCTGTCAAAAGAACAAACAGATATGTCTTGAAGAAAAGTATAAATAGAGTGATCCTTAGAGGTAAGGATGGTGAAGCTTCATCTCACATACATGAGCTTAGGAAGGTCTATTCCTTGTAAAGGGACATCATGCTTGAAAAAGCAGTAGGTAGATGAAAGAGATGAAGACATTTAGTCAGATGTGTTTACATAATGACTGCAGCAATGGGTTTGAGTATGTCAGGGAGTGTGAAGATGACACAGTATAGGTCAGGGTTGAGATTTGTTGTTCATATGGTTGCTACAAGTCAAACAGGTTGCAACAATACCTAATAATAACAACTTAAATGGTAGAAATTTGAGGCTCAAAATTATCCAAAGGTTTGGAAGAACATCCTGGTGATAATTCTGAAAACATCTGTCACTGGAATTTCTGTGGAGCTGTTCAATTTTAACACACACAAAGTCTCCATGAGCTGGAGTTGCAATGGCA